TAGTCGGTATTTATTTAAGAGAAACACTACAACACTAAAACTGCAATGTTTTATGTGTGTCTTACGTTGGTTGTTTTCAACTTGTTTATCATTTATTGCGTCATCATTCCCAGTGTGTGTTAGTTTCGTTCGTTTGTCGCCACCACTGTGCCCTGTTTTCAAGCAATGTTCTTACTTCTTAATTTTGCCTTCTCCATGAATTTCCTTGACCTGTCACCATTCTTGCATTCAAACCCGAACCCGAACCGACGAGTATGCATATATGGACACTGTCGCTCCTTGTCAGGGCCCTTCCTCGCCGACACCCCAAGACGGCCCTTTTCATGACCCGCCTCAAAATATGGCATCGCTTTGAGAGAAGCGCTCATTCAAGACAAACTAAATTTACGGGTCGTTAAGTGAATTACAGAATGAAGTGAAGTTTATACTAGAGACGACATTGTAGATTTAGATAATCTATTTCGGGCGAACGAAAGAAGAAGACGAATTAATTAACCCCTACACTATACTATACTTTACCAGCTTCCCGAAAACTCCCTAAAATATTCCCTACCAATCTTGCAGCCGACGAAATGGGCTGAAAAGTTGTAAAGTACCTAAATTGTAAACATAATTCGAAGTCGTAATCAAATACAGTTTAATACGAGTGTATTTGCTGTCAAGATGCCTTGCTTCGTGGCACAAAATATGAAGTTTCCTTCGATTGCAAGTCATGCCACACATACAACGTTATATACCTAATATTGTTAGAAGATAAGTTAAAAAAAAAAAACTTTACCATAATGTTAACTCTCTGAGTCCCAAGGAACGCATCATACGTCCATGGGTTTCTACCTATAAGCCCAATGAACGCATGATGTGCCGATTTTATTAATTTCTTTACTATCCCCTGGGCCTATGATGCTAGCCCCCTGGGACTCAAAGAGTACATCATCATCATCATCAACATAAGCCCTGCCCAGTGGCGTTGGAGCTGAAGTCTCACTACAGATCTCGATCCTTGGTGTTTTGAGTCAAATACACTGATGTTATTCCACCATGTCATCCCTTCAGGCCATCAAGCATTGTCTCTCTTGGTCTACCTCTGGCTCTTCTACTGTAGATTTTTCAAGTCATCACAATGTTCTTTAATGCCTCTCTTCTCATCACATGACAGAAGAATACACCACTCTTTCTCACCTAAAAACAAGACATTAATTATACTTTTCAGGTTCATTTTTAGTTAACCTTGATCCATGTATAACAATATAGCACATGAAGCAATCACAACAAATTACGTGCAGGCAGATCCTGGTGTCATTGCTGTTATTTGTGGGCTTACTGGAATTTACATTTGAAGGTTTGTTGCTGAAGATGTTTCTTGTCCAAATTGCTTTCATGATATTTGTGATTCAGGTTTTCTTGTATAAATTATTTCAAGTGTAACTGTTAATTAATCAATTACTTCTTCTTCTTTACCTCTTCCTTCTCCTTCCTCTCCTCCTGCACCTTCTTCTTCTACTTCGTCGTCTTCTTCTTCTTCTACTTCTTCTTCTTCTTCTTCTTCTTCTTCTTCTTCTTCTTCTTCTTCTTCTTCTTCTTCTTCTTCTTCTTCTTCTTCTTCTTCTTCTTCTCTTCTTCTTCTTCTTCTTCTTCTTCTTCTTCTTCTTCTTCTTCTTCTTCTTCTTCTTCTTCTTCTTCTTCTTCTTCTTCTTCTTCTTCTTCTTCTTTTTCTTTTCGTTAAACTAGCTGTAAACTCTTGCGAAATATTATAGTTGTTCGTCCACTATTGGTCTTTAGATCTTAAATTTAACTTGCATAATCAGTCTTACAGATCTGGTTTATTCGAATGCAGACTATTGGTTCTTTGTCTCTTAGGCAGATGCATTCCGACCTCCAAGAAACCCCTAATTAGTCGACTCTGGCGACATGCCTGATAGGGAGGCGTGGGTCCACCCCCCCCCCATCGCCCCTTAAAAAGGGCTCCAGAACCCACACGAGGAGTAAAGCATTTGAAACTAACTATTTAACAATATATTTACAGTTTGTCCAATAGGATTCTACGGGAAAGACTGTCATTATAGTTGTCGCTGTCAATCTCTCAACTGCTACGAGGATGGGAATTGCCTCTTCAAACGGTTTCCCTCCATGCTTGAGGGAATATTTCAAAAACCGGTTCGGGCCTGAATGTCAATACAGTAAAGCCATGTAGCCTCCTCAATGGATTTAGTTTTGGTTTCCAAGCTGTATGTGTTTTCATAATCTGCTTGGTAGTGAACCAGGTTTGATTTCTGAGAACGGCGGCAGAACGGTGGTCAGTTTCGAGAGAAAGGGAGACTGTCCCCTTGTAGCTCTTGTGGATAATGGTAACAATATGAGAACCAGTTGTAGCGTGGAAGAGAGTGGGGCTTCACAAAAAAAAAAAAAAAAAAGAAAAAAAAAAAAACAGTTAAAAAAAAAAAGTTACCACAGACAACAGTGAAGGGACAGTTCTTGTGTAATTAACCTTTGTAGTGAAGGCGGCACAAATTTAATAATAAATGACTGAAGAACGGCTGGCAGAACGGTTAGAATGCTGAGCTCTTAAGGTGGGTTCGAATCCTTAGTAAGGTGTTGGAAGTCTTTTTGTCGGGGGGGGGGGGGGGATTAAACAAAAAAAACAAAAAAGAAAAGCTAACCTGCACAGTTTCTTTGCCGAACCGGGGGGGGGGGGGATTAAACATACTAACACTGCCATGTTTCTTTGCGACCCCAATAGCCCTTAAACCTCAGGCTCACGACATAACCTGGTCACAATTATAACATAAAGCCTCCCCTTTGGGAATGCTGGTTCAACGTGACGATTTTATTTTCAAGCAAATTAACGGAGCGTAACGGCAATGCTGGATTTAGTCATTAGCTAACTAAGCTGCAGCTTAGGGCCACACGGTCTGTGGGTATCTCAAAAACAATTCCTAATTCTTTATTATTTATTTTGCTAAAAATAAACGACAATATACTTTCTTACCTCATCCACATATTTACAAACGTGTAAATATTTTACAGCCTTCTGAGATAAGGTGGTGTAATTTTAAACAGTAGGGGCCTCAGCCCCCACATCTGTTGCTCTGTTTGAAAACAAGTACACATCCAACTATACCGTTAAAGAAAATCGCAATGAAGTAGTAAATTATCAGGCGAAACTGTAACGCCATTCAATTCTACTATTGTCTTCAAGACAGCACAAAACGCTTGTAATGAAGAACTGTGATTGTAAAGCAGAAAAATAACAGAAACCAATAATATAGTCGTGCTTGCGTCATATGAGTGTCAGGATGATAGCATGAGCGCTTATTTTAGACTAACCATCATAATATGAAATAATGGTGTTTTCTCAATATCCTACCCAAAACAGGGAAAATCCACAGGTCACGGGACAATGTAATATTTCAATGTGTAGTAGATAGGCTGCATGCAGTCGATGGACCTAGGCTGCACTCTTTCCTGGGACGTAGGTGGGTTGGGGTTAGGGCCAGTTCTAGATGTTTTGGGGTCGTTAAAAGCATCGAAAAGCCGGGAAACCCAGTCTTACCATCCTCTAAAAGGTTGGGCTGTCCTGTGACGTCATCTGAGGTGGGATACTATGAAAGAACCGAAATAAGTTTTGTCTAATCATTTCTTCTTATAGTTCAAACCGTGTGGCGCTGGTAGTCATTTATTTCCACAAACGTCTGTCTTGCATACCATAAATCAGTTCAGACACAGATTATCTTCCATGCGATTCTGTTACACTGCCCAGCATCTCCTCTCTCGTGTTTCCGATGTCTCTTTTCCTCTCCGATTTTCCCACCGTCACGATGTACTTTAGTATTTTCCTTCTCATGACATGCCCAGAGAAATTAGAATGTCACTTTCTGATATGGGTAATCAGTTCTCTTCGTGAGTCAGTTTCTTTCCAGACATCTTCATTGATCTTATTATCTGTTCAGTGCATTCTCGTCATTCGTCTATTATTTCACATCGCCGCCGCTTCTGATCATTTAGAATAAAATAAATCAGTGATTTCCCTATTTATTTTCTTATGTCTGCCACAGACCCCAAATATTTTTCACATAATCATACAGGAGATTCTTCTTGTTCTTTTCTCTGCTCCTGGAATGCCTCGAAACGTCGGGGCAGGAACAGCCCTTCTGTTCTCTTCGTATACAGTAATTTTCACGGAAAGATATAAAACCGAACGAAATGTATGTCAGCCAGCTTCACAAAAAACAAACACAAACAAAATTTAAACGTTGCGGCTATAGAGCTTTCATCAGCAAAAACATAAATCAAGAAAAAACCACACGAATACACAAAATCACTTAACTGAGTATCCAGAAGCAGTCACATTTTTATCTTTCCAGTAGAGAGTACTTTTCAGTGTCTGAATTTTCTGCATTCCATGATCTCACGGTTCGACCTCTGGCTCTGTTACCGTTTTACCGTTCTATCTGTATAATATTGCTCTCTGTGGTGCCCTGTCTGATGTCAGTCTTATTAGATGGCCAAACCGTTTGATTTGTTGTCTACCTATAAAATTCAGTACTGCTTCTGTGCCGACTCTCCTCCTGATATAATCGTTCCTAAGTCTCGACATTACCCATCGAGTGCCGATTGGTCTGTAAAAATATGGGCGCTCTTCCCATATGCCCGATGCGCCTAAAGGCGTGTAAAGGGATCTTTACTATTTTTACTTAAGTCCTCGTTTTACCTAGCATAGTACGGAGACATTTCATTTCTCTCGTGACTATTTTCCTTCTGTCTTCTGAAGACGGTGTCTATGTTTGACATTAATAGCATAGCGTTGGTAAGAATATTGTGTAGTTTTATAGTTTATATTCACCTGCTTGCATTTCAAAATTGGTGCCATTCGGCCTAAAACTTGACTGGCTTCATTGCATCTTTGTTGAAATTCTTTATTATTTCTTCGTCTTCAGAAAAATGCTCACCAGATATGTACAGTCTTTCGCCTGAATTAACTGGTTATTACAACTCTCTTGCAGTTAACATGGTCAACAGAACGCCTCAAGCCAATGACTGGGTGCACGATAATAATGATTCCAACTGCAGCCCTTTTAGGCATCCGGTAGACATTAGGGTGAAACTTGTTGAAACCACGTTTATGACATGGTTCAGAATTCATTATCGATATCCACATCGGTGTAAGTACACAGTTTTTCAGTCATTGTTACTCTGTGTGAGTCGTAGTACAGTCTGACAATTAAGCAATGAGACTGATATATATATATATATATATATATATATATATATATATAGTATATATATATATATTAATATATATATATATATATATATATATATATTCATAATAATTGCGAAAACAGAAACACAGTACATGAAGCAAAGCATGTCATCTAAACAGGCACCCTTCATCTATGATCTGGCTGAACTGTTGCCAGAAGTTACCAAACTGCCCCGTCAACAGGCGCAAGTAACCCACCATTTTATTTAGCTATTGAAAGTTGCGTCGTTACGGATGCAGTTTAGAGCAAAATGTCAACATTAATTCAGTTTTTAACTATGAAAAGTCCTTTATAGACAGTTGGTCAGATCCGTTTATATTCTCAGTTTGGCATTTCGACAAAAGGAAACATCCCTAGTAAGTCGATTTTTAGGACATGCGTTTTATGTTGCAGAGGTTCTGCCACCCCCCCCCTTCCCTGGTTGAACCCCCCCCCCCCACCCCCCACCCCGGGGGTCACACACACACATTGTGTTCCTGGAACCAACGCATGGATTTTTTAAAATTCTACCTTAGCTATTCTGTTGAGAAAATGTTTCATTATTGAATGAGAATTTTCCTGTTTCTGAATATTTCTGTCTCATTAAATGTAATCACTAAACACTGTTGCTTTTAGAATGCCTACGTGTGGAAACAGGTAATATCCTGGGAAGACCACATCACCCAGCAAGTGCCAGCTAGTCTTCAAAAAATACGAGGCTGGCACCATAAGCCCCATGTGCCTCTAGAATACTAAGAAAGGATCCTTTGCTTTACAGGGAAGATACACTTGGCGCCACAATAAAGTCCTAAATGAGTTAGTGGACCAAGCTAGGATGAGGGCCAACCAATGCGAGGGCCAGTCCTACCGTCACCTCCATGCGCTTCCTGAAGGCTGGGCAGATTTATAAAGGTAAAGTCAACAAGGTCCATTGATACTTGACTGTGCGAGGGACTGGTTACTGGCTGTCGACCTGCCTGGTCACGAGAGGTACCTAGAGTTGATCTAGAAGACCTGCCTGAGACCCGACATTGTCCTACACAATGCGGAAAAACGCAAGCTCATCCTGATTGAGCTCACCGTGCCGCATGAGTCGCAAATGGATGAAAATCACCTGTACAAGGTCGGGAAGTATGTGGATCTCGAGGCCGGTCTGAGGAACGACGAAGCATACTGAGTAAAAATCTTCGCCGTCAAGGTAGGCGCAAGAGGTCTTATCTCCACTTTTATGTACAGTGTGCTAACGCAGCTGGGCTTGCGAGGAAACGAACGTAAACCGTCACTAAAACAACTGGTCGAAGCTGCTGAAAGAGCTTCGAGCTGGCTTTAGACGCAACGGAACACCGTGGGTGATGGGCCTCGGTAGACTGGTCCGAGTCCCCTTAGGAACGGAGCTTCTTATCCCTTAAAAAGCCAAGGTGTCCAATTGCTGTCTGACAGTGTCACTCTGCCAATCGCCAAAGTCTAACATGTGTCCAATAAACCAACCTTAAGCTTGTCACTTGGTCGTTAAGGTAGCCGTCTGGTCTAATTGGCAACCGTAGCGACAATATATTTTTTACTTGTTATCTCACAGTACCATTTCGTCTTGTCCCTGTCAGACAACATCCAGTAAAGTGCTGGAGGAGGAGATCGAGGCTTGGGGTCATGACCCAGGTCGGCTCACCCTCTGAAATTGATAATCAGTGGACTCCTACTGTGCATGTTCCACTGTGGAGTTCTTCTTATTAATACTTCACTCAATTGACTATTAACACGTAAACGTTTTAACTGCTGGGTTGCCTGCTTTCTTTCAGTGGGTGATGCAAATCAGGCAATTGATGCGAAAATCAATGGCACCGTTAGCTGTTTACATAAAAGAGTGTACCTGTTTCGTACCGGGATCGTGGATGTTAGCTGTGACAATATTGTACTAATGTCTTCTCTGGTCATCAGTGGCAGAATTACGACAATGTTATGTAATATTTTTGTTAGTGGAGGTAAGTATGGTTTTATTATAGGAAAAAAAATGGTATACATACTCAGCTTTTGGGGACTGCATTCATCGAGTTGCTGTCTTGACAGTTTGCGCCCCCCCACACACACACACACACACACTGCAAGATTCTGTCTTCCCTGATAGGGGATCGCCACGATAAGAACAGTGTGCTTGAGGATGTGAACACAATCGGTCATTATCCCGCCCCGTCATCACACACCCACGATTCACGCTGCACCCTTTTCCCCAAAAACACACACCCACATACACACAAATACCATGTATCCTGCAGTGGGAACCCGCATAAAACAAGCAGTCCGTGACAAGGGAACAGAACAATCCGAGAGAAATCACAGCCACTGAAAAATAACGCGAGCTCCTCGTTGCCATATTGAGAACGGAAGTCCAAGTAGACATTTTAAATTACAGTAGCTTTCAACCATGTAGCCGCCGTGGTGTAGGAATAAACGTTCACCTGAGGGTTCGAAGGTCGTGGCTTCAAATCCGAAAGGACTATTTTTTTATCTTTCAAAAACGACCTTGGTACCCAACTAGCCTCAAAAAGATACCAGGTTAAAGTCCAGGGAAGTAAAGGCTGCTGGCGTGATGCTGGCCATATTACTCACCGAGTGCCGATTGGTCTTTAAAAATTGGTCTATAAAAGATATTTTTGACCCTAAACGATCAATACACCTGAAGGCGTGGAAGATTGTCCGGCTATCCGAATAACGGGCGGTAAAGATGGCGGCCGCAAAATATCCTTTCGAGCCACAGTCACGTGACTTAATTTGCGGTTTTCCGGCGACTACCGCCACCGCCACGAGGCTCCCACGCCGCTCGCGCGGTGTGGATTGGGGCTAAAGTAGATGGCTAGGACTCACGAGCAAAGCTTAAGGAGATGCGGAAGCTGCTGCTCATGGGTCCTAGCCATCTAGTTTAGCCCCAATCCACACCGCGCGAGCGGCGTGGGAGCCTCGTGGCGGTGGCGGTAGTCGCCGGAAAACCGCAAATTAAGTCACGTGACTGTGGCTCGAAAGGATATTTTGCGGCCGCCATCTTTACCGCTCGTTATTCGGAGGATAGCCGATTGTCCATTTAACTTTGCAACTTATGTCCTCAAAGCTTCATTTAGTTTTTAGTTTACGAGTTAAAAATGTAGATTTAGGTCACTATACACTGATTTCAGCCTCTATTCTTGTTTGTTTTTCAATTTATCTGTCAAATTGTTAAAACATTTATAGTCTTCTCCTCTCTAAAATGTATCTTTATTTTGATTTTGCCTGCAGATTCTCTCACCAGTCGCTTAATTTCAGGTAGGAATGTGGTTTACAGACATAACGCGACCATCGTTGGTGTAGGAAGAAACTTCACATCGGAAAGACCGGTAGATGACAACTTTTATTGCCAGGTTGCATTTCCAGAAGTTGCCAAACAGGTCATCATTGACGTTCCCAACCCACATCTACTATACAGAATACTTATCGTTACACCTAACGGTATTGTAAATAGTTTGTGTTTATTTGTCATGAAACTTATTATAGACATGTATGATATTCTGTGGCTAGTGGGCCGCTTCTGGGGTCAGATCCCAAGACTGTCAGAATTCCGTGAGAATGTTTTCACGGTTAATTTATAAATAAATAGCAGACATCAATACAAGCTCGAGAAATATGGAGATCTCGTAGCCGGTCTGAGGAGCGACGAAGGTCCTCAGTAAACATCTTCGCCGTCGAGGTAGGCGCATGAGGTCTTAATGCCACTTTTATGTACAATGTGGGGATGTAGGGATGTCTTATACCTTTACAGCTTCAGTGTGCTATGACCTGAGCTCTTCCCACTTCAGACTGTTGGTACATTATCTCTTTCTGTATCGTTGCTTCGAGTAGAGAGGCAAGCTTCACTGGGAAGGTCACGGGTAGTGAGCATACTTTTGATCTTTTCTCCAGGCGATGCCGGTGTAATGGGCAATGAACAGGCAGATTGACTGGGTGGTGAATTGAAACATGACAAGGCAGATGTGGTCAATACATTCAGGCCACCTGTCTGTAAGAACCTTCTCATAAACGCATTTTCCTGTTTAAAATATTATAGATTCCCATTATCCGGTCTTGCTGCAAAGGGCTGTCAGGGTTTTCATTTGCCGGACAACTTAAATTTGCTTCTCTATATGATCGGCGTCTCTGGCTTATGCGTTGCCAACGCGCTTCGTAATGCCGGGATGCCGGGTTCGATTCTAGCTGCTGGCCTTGCGCCTTGCGTTGGTTTCGATAGTTGTTATTTTGAGAAGCAATAGCAAACTACAGTCAACAAATGGTGGAGTTGGTTCTGCGATATCCTGTAAAGGTTACGCAGCTAACTTTAACTTTTTTTTTTTGTCTTAATATATTTTTACCCACGTCCTAGCTGCCTTTCTCTACTCGTTTATGTATATTTATCATGAGCTACGACATTAGTGGCTCAGGTTCTGCTACTGTTTAAATGCTATTTTTTTTAAACCGTTAGTGTCCCAAGGTTCAGTTGTTGTTTTTTTTTTCTAGAAAAAAAAGGGTGGGGTTGTAAACCTACTGCAACTTAATAAGCATCTCGTAAAAGTTGACTAATTAGAAGAATTTCTTTAGAAGTCGTAGTGCAGCTGTCAAAAAAGCAAAGATTCACTAGTCTGACTACAACAGTGTTGCCACTTTTCTTTGACAAAAAACATCCAAATCGGATGCTCCCAAACAAGACTTCAGTCCAGAAACTGCCAAAACTTTCCGCCGGAGTTTACAGCCGGTGAACGAGAAAACAAAAAGAAAAAAAAAATAGAAGAAGGAGGTAATAAAATATCTTTGTTCTGCTTTATTTCAGGAACGACGAGCATCCATAACTTTTTCGTACAGATGTATTCAGGGTCGAACGTGACAGTTTCCCGCGATGTAAGAGGTTCCGCTGATTACAAACACACCATATTTATGTATGACTGGACTCCCTTCACCAGACTGAGTATCACAATTACTCCAGAGGTTGAGATATGTGAAGTGCAAGCGACTGGGGGTAAGCACGTATGGTTTATCTGTTCCGTTACATCATCTTCTTCTTCTTCTTCTTCTTCTTCTTCTTCTTCTTCTTCTTCTTCTTCTTCGTCTTCGTCTTCTTCTTCTTCTTCTTCTTCTTCTTCTTCTTCTTCTTCTTCTTCTTCTTCTTCTTCTTCTTCTTCTTCTTCTTCTTTTTTTTTTTCTTCTTCTTCTTCTTCTTCTTCTTCTTCTTATTCTTCTTTTTCTTTCGTCTTCTTCGTCTTCTTTATCTTCTTCTTCTTTCTTCTTTCTTCTTCTTCTTCTCTTCTTCTTCTTCTTTCTTCTTCTCTTTCTTCTTCTTCTTCTTCTTCTTCTTCTTCTCTTCTTCTTCTTCGTCTTCTTCTTTCTTCTTCATTCTTCTTCTTCTTTCTTCTTCTTATTCTTCTTCTTCTTCTCTCTTCTTCTTCTTCTTCTTCTTCTTCTTCTTCTTTTTTGTTCTTGTTCTTGTTCTTGTTCTTCCTGTTCTTCTTTTTCTTCTTCTTCTTCTTCTTCTTCTTCTTCTTCTTCTTCTTCTTCTTCTTCTTCTTCTTCTTCTTCTTCTTCTTCTTCTCCTCCTTCTGCTTCTTCTTCTTCTTCTTCTCCTTCTCCTTCTCCTTTAGCTTCTTCTTTTTCTTCTTCTTTTTCTTCGTCTTCTTCTTCTTTAGCTTCTTCTTCTTCTTCTTCTTCTTCTTCTTCTTCTTCTTCTTCTTCTTCTTCTTCTTCTTCTTCTTCTTCTTCTTCTTCTTCTTCTGTTCTTCTTCTTCTAGCAGAAGTTGTATTTGTTGTTGTTCAGTGAACCTAGGATTAACAAAACACTGTGTCTGATTTCTGTGAACAGAAACCTGGTGTGAACTGACCAGTTACGGCTTCGACTGCGAGCATCCGTGCCAGTGTCAACCCAATGAGATTTGCTTCCCTCCGACTGGAATGTGCGGCCCAGAGTGTCCTTCGGGGTCCTATGGATTCATGTGTTCACTGAAGTGTGGCCGTGGATGCTTAAATAGTAGGTGCGATTACAGGAGAGGGAACTGCTCGTGTGGTCCTGGCTTCATAGTTGATGGCGTCTGTAATAGAGGTATGTGGTGATAATGGGAGATCTTCTTCATCTTTTGTTCGCCTGAAATCAGTTGTCTTTATCAGCAATTTTCTCTCTTGTATAAATTTCACTGTCGTTGTTAGTTCATTCAGTGGTCCATAGAGTTTACGTTCCACTGTTGTTCTTTCTGGCCAAAAGGTTTGCCTTAATGTGTTAAATTCGGTGCAGTCCTGGAGTACATGCTCTGCTGTCTGGGGCACCTTTCCACAGGTGCACATGGCTGATATACCTATCTTGAATTTTGTGTACATGTGGTTACGTAATCGGTTGTGCCCTGTTCTGAGGCAGAGGTTATTGACCTATTCTGGTCTGTCCATAATAAAATAGTCGTCTTGTGCTGGGGCTGGTGGTTTCCTGATCGATTTAATGATTCTTTTTTCTTTTGGTGTTATGTGACTGGTACATCCGGCTGCACTTTTGTCGCACTTTTCCCTGTCAGTTGATCAGCTTTCTCATTTCCAGGCAACCCACAATGTGATGGTATCCACTGCATTACAACTCTTCGCTAAAGGCTGAGTTGTGTCAGCAGTGTTTGCAATTCTGGTAGTTTCCTAGACTGGAGTGCTTCAAGTAGGGATTTAGCATCTGTCAGCATTACAACATACTGTGAGCCAAAATTGGTATTTAGCAGTTTCTCTGTTGCTATCTTGATAGCTTGAGTTTCTGCTTCATAGTTATGGCAGTAGTTCCCGGTTGGTACTCTGGACTTATCCCTAGTACCGTCTGGGAATTCTATGTAGACTCCAGGACCACTATTTCTAACTGTACTATGTGTGGACCAGTATGTATAGACTCTGACCCATTGTTCTTGTGGGTATTCTTCATCAATATAACTGAGGATGGCCATTCTGCGTTGTACACTATCTTGCTCTTTCTTGTCAAATATCCCTTTCACATTTGTCTGGATTTGTACTGTGAGTTTTATAATAGGAGATAATACAAGAATAATGGCGTGTGAAGTAACGGTGATAATGGGGGTCATGGCAGCAAGAATAATGGTGTGTGAGGTAGCGCCGATAAGAGGGGTCGTGGCTACAAAAATAATGGCGTGTTTGAGGCATCTGTGATAATAGGGGCCATCGCTACAAGAATAATGGCCTGTGTGAGGTAGCGGTGATAATGGCTGGTCGTTGTTACGAGAATAACGACGTATGTGAGGAAGCGGTGATAATGGGTTGGGGGGTGGGGGGGGGGGGGTCGTTGTTACGAGAATAACGACGTATGTTAGGAAGCGGTGATAATGTAGTCGGTTGCTACAAGGTGTGAGGAGTGGTGAAAATGGGGTAACTGCTACAAGAATAATGGTGTATATTGGGTAGTGTTGATAATATGAACTTTCGCTACAAGAATAATATTGTATATTAGTGTTGATAATGGGGGCTATCACTACTAGAATAATATTGTATATTAATGTTGATAATGGGAGCTACCGCTACAAGAATAATATTGTATATTAGGTAGTGTTGATATTAGGATCTACCGCTACAAGAATAATGGTGCAGTTGAGGTATGTGGGGTTCAAATCTGTTAACCATGAAAGGGGGGGGGGGGGGAGGTGTCGATACTCAACACAGACTGTGTTTTACTTTAGCGTTGAAATTCCGGATGCTTAAAAAGGTGCCGGTATTGTACACAGTCAGAACAAAATCCTTACTCCTGTAAATGGTAACAATTGCTGCAAGAGGAGATCTCCATGGCGAAATGGCCAGACTATTTACGTCGCGCTCTGAAGGTTTCGTTTCCACGCGTCGTTCAATTCATTTGTATGGCATTGGCGGATATCACTCAGAATCGTCACTGTGGCTACCGAGTTCGTGCTTTGTGCAACGCGCTTAACAAGTGAGCTAAGAGAAACTGATTATTTTTTTTAACTATACATAAAGAAGGTTCTCGACCTGGATAAAATACTTTAACACCCGTCTGTCTTCAATACATCTAGAATGCCCAGAAGGAACGTACGGGATAGACTGCGTGGGGACGTGCTCTGGTAACTGCGAGGGGGATCGTAATTGCGACAGAGCTAGCGGCAACTGTATAGGATGCATGGACGGTTATTTCGGCTCTGGTTGCCATTTCCAGTGCTCTTCGAGGTGCCTGACAAGGAGGTGCGACAAGGAAACGGGAGAGTGCGACAGCTGTGCCAAGGGACATTTCGGTGGCGATTGCAGCGGCGAGTGCCCCAAAGACTGTTTCAGTTCCGAGTGCAATTTTACCACAGGCAGCTGTATTCAGTGTAAGACCTCCCGGTTTGGTGTTCGCTCCTGTCAGCCTTCAGGTAACGATGTCTGCTTTTTGTAGTTTGTTGTTTGAATTGCACTTTTCAGTTACAAAGTACTGGGTTTGATCCTGCTGTGGGCGATTTGGCACAAGATGACCTTGCATTCGTTTTGACAATAGTATCTTCTTCTTCTTCTTCCTCTTTTCCTTCTTCTTCTTCTTCTTCTTCTTCTTCTTCTTCTTCTTCTTCTTCTTCTTCTTCTTCTTCTTCTTCTTCTTCTTCTTCTTCTTCTTCTCTTCTTCTTCTTCTTCTTCTTCTTTGTTCTTCTTCTTCTTCTTCTTCTTCTTCTTCTTCTTTCTTCTTCTTCTTCTTCTTCTTCTTCTTCTTCTTCTTCTTCTTCTTCTTCTTCTTCTTTCTTCTTCTTCTTCTTCTTCTTCTTCTTCTTCTTCCTTCTTCTTCTTCTTCTTCTTCTTCTTCTTCTTTCTTCTTCTTCTTCTTCTCTTCTTCTCTTCTTCTTCTTCTTCTTCTTCTCTTCTTCTTCTTCTCTCTCTTCTTCTTTCTTCTTCTTCTCTTCTTATTCTTCTTCTTCTTCTTCTTCTTCTTCTTCTTCTTCTTCTTCTTCTTTCTTCTTCTTCTTCTTCCTTCTTCTTCTTCTCTTGCTTCTTCTTCTTCTTCTTCTTCTTC